TTTTTTTAACAGATGAGTTGGATATTTTGAAAGACAAAATATCAAATAACATTGCTGTGTTTAAGATGAATAGGCCCTAGCTTGTCATTGAAATTTTAACCTAAAAATCATATTTTATTCACCCAGTGAAAAAAATTTAAGATCAAACTAGGTAGTTCAACCATGTTAAGTAACTAGGTATTTCTACCAAGTAACTCCAAGTAACTACCTATCTAAAACGTAGTGTATAATGGCCCTTTGGATTGACAGCATTGATACCTTAGGGGCAAATAGTAATTGATTGTGCAAACAATGGAGGCCATTTATGTCATTAGAAATCACTTAAATAATTCATGATTGATTTAAGGTCGTCTTTGGCATGGATTGTATACCATGTGCATTCTGCCCCTTAGTCACCTTACTGTCACTACAAGCTACTGTTTTGACGAATCACATGACTCCAAAAAATAAACGCGTTTGCAATTGGCCAATTCCTATGAGGAAGGTGGGCTAGATGCTGCTACTATCTAGTCAATCTTGTTCCCTACCCAGGTTATTTGTTTAATGAGTCAGACAGACAGACTCTTACATAGCATGGCGAAAATATTCATATTTTATTATTGTGTTATATATCCTCCATGACCTTACCACCATTGAGGAAGTTTTTCTTCTGGTTATATACGAACGAAAATAATACGTTTGGTAGACCATGATATTTTCCTCCATGGGTAGACATTACCAGTTACTAGAAACTGATAAGTTCTCACAATAAGTTTAGCCACGGTGTTCTTGAGAGCAGTGCTTGCAGCGGCCAATTCGCCCGGGGAATGTATGGTATGTAGGTCAAAAGTAAATGATGTATTTACTGTACAAGCTATTCAGGGCGTAAACATGCGGTGCCTTCCAAGAAGAAATCCGTGGTACATAATATCCATGGTGTGAAGTAGATACAGTAATTAAAGTACAAGGAGAAGGAAAAAATATTCAGTTGGTGGTTATGAATCCAGTAGATTGCCATTATACTAATACTGAGTAACAGAATTAATATATTAATAATAGAATAATATATTATGTGGGAGTGAAACAAAATATATAAAGGTGTATCACAAAGAGCATATTCAAAAATTAAAAACCGTTTAATTTTCAGTTTCAAGTGGAAATTAAAACAAGTTTAAACCCCATTTTTGTTTGTTACACTAGAAGAAAATTTACACCGTATTTTGTTACGAAGCAGAAATACATGTGAAACCCACTATTTCATTATTCTCTATACTGGTCTTACGAGAGATGCGTCCTATTCTACCTTAAATTCAATATAGTTTTGCAGTTCTATTGAACATTAAAAATGAAACACATGGATACAATTGAATACAACACTGGCCCTATACGAATTATAATTTTCTGGAAGACTGAATTAACAAGGGATTTTTTTTTCATTCGAATTATCAGTTGAAAATGAAATGCAATATATTTTGCTTTTCATACATGTACTAGGCCTATGTAGAAAAAATTCAAATCAAGCAATTTTTTTTTGAAGATTAATTGATCATGGAGGAATTAATTTAGACTAAACTAATTCCTCCATGATTTAATTCAGGTGACAGCTGCAGTATATTTTTTAACCAAAGTGAACACCGGCTCCTTTTTTGGTTCCTATGCCTGCATACTAGTATGTTACGCAGTTTTTTGATAAACAGGCAAACGTGATTTTCCAGACATCTGTTTGTTTTGTGCTTACCTAAGCTAATCTGGATCTTTTGTTGTGCCCTATTTCATAGTTTTCTATTTTGACAAATATTAAAGCCATACTAATGAGAGACAATAGTAAACTGTATGATAAGAGGAAAACATATTTATGGAATGTTGTGTACTCGCGTTGTCCAAACTGTCTTAAATGTGATGGATCGGACTCCAGGGACTTTCCTGGCTGGTATGCATATAAAACTTTATCTGCACTCCAAAAACCTCAATTTTATACTACATTTGCAGTATTTGCAGTTTGGATAAGGTTCTACAGCAGACAGAATAGAATTGTGTTGTGTATGGAAGTGTTGTGGTTTGAAAAAAACATAAAACAAACTTGATACCTGACTGGATACAGTAATCCGTTTGCAGCTTCTATCGGATAATAAATAGACTAACGTGTGTACAGTACGGTAGAGTGAAACCATTGTTGGCTGAGCTCCGACTGTGTCAGTGAAATATTTAACGAATAAGAAAATAAAATTAATCCACCCGATCCATCCCGAAATAGGCAACAATACTAAATTTCCCAGTACTGTAAGTTGCCTAGTAACAAACGTTTCCCAGTACTGTAAGTTGCCTAGTAACAAACGTTTCGCAAATAAGTTCCCACCACGTTGGCGCGATACTCCATTATAAGAATCAGACACATGGTCAGTCACCTCACCAAATTAGTTTGATTCTTTGTACGCCGCCAGGAGCGTAAACGCGCTACTGTCGAGAAGACCGATTGGCTTGTTCGGTAAACTACCCTACCATAAGATTATTTAAGGAAGTAGATGCTTATTCGACCATGGAAGCTACCGACGCAGAGTTGACGTACATAACCTTTTCCCTAAATTTTTTCTTGAAATATGACGATTATACATAAAGACCTGTAGACTGTTTTTGTGAGCAGTAATGACCCCCCCCGGC